GGGTGATCTAATGAACAGGTTCCGTCTGACCCTCTCTGGCTCATTCGCCGTAGCAACCACCATTCACTACATCCGCCAAGACTTTATCCGGCTCAAAAACCTGCCTTCGAACACGGTCGTACCGGTCGTCGTCACCCTTGATGAAGTGAGCATGCTGCTTGGACAAACAGTCGACGAGAAATTCGACCGCGAGTTTAGCACGTTGCCGCAATGGCGCCAAGAACGTCGGTTCATCAAATGGGCTATCGCGCCACTGCGAGAATTGTCGAATTCAGGCGGGAAGGTTACTTTATTTATGAGTGGGACGCGTCCTTTTGCGCTGAGCGACGCTGTCCAGGTGGACATGTTCGACAAGGTCACCGGGAGCAGGTTTTTCGCTAGCTTGATCGAGATGCCACGTCTCTCCGGCGCTGCCTCGGCTCAGCTGGCGACCCGCCGTAACAACAACGCAGCTTGGCATCGAGATGTTTGGAAAACGCTGTTGCTCCAGCGAGCACTGGGCATTCCTCGCCAAATTAACAACATTTTCACGACCGACAACCGTTCCATGCCGATCACGATTGATCCCAAGTCTTTGATTGCTTTTGTTCGAGCCATTGCTTTCAAGTCGACTCTCGACGATTGGGCAGATGCTCGGATTGACAGGTTGGTGGATCTTGGACTCTGCTTTTGGACCTCACTCTCTCAGTATTCCTTCTCTCAGCAACTGATGCTAAACCTGCACTTTCTCGACCTTGTCAAACTCGGTGAGTCGCTTGCTGACGTTGCATTTTGTCCTTGCTGCAACGGCTACTTACTGCACTTTCGTGCTTGCCCGCCCCGGTGTCTGCAGATGATGACCAGTGCGCGTATGGCCACATCGCCAGCAAACTGCTCACTGAACTGCAAACAATCGGGAAGATGAGTCAGCCGGAGACTGTTAATGACAATGCGGTCTCTCTTCCCTCGCACAACTGGGAGCAAATTGTGCCGCGCTTGCTCAACCTGCGCCTGCTTGTGGAGCTGTGCGATGCGTGCGCCAAAACCAAGGGCGCACCACAGGCTGCCGATCTGACACTACCTCTTCCCACACTGTTTGAAGGCGCCGTCTTGAGCGACGACTTGCAGTCAGTCATGGTCGTTTTGCGACAGTTTGAGCGAGCGGTCGATTCGATTCCAGATGGGTTTTCCTTGACCCGCGTCAACGAGGAGTTCAGCGATTTGAATGCCAGCTTTGTGTCGGTCAATGGTTTGGACGTAAGAGGTCGAAACGGTCTTGTTGACTCCAAACTACATGTATGCGCTGCGACTCACAAGCATGACAACAGTTGACTGTGAAGGGTCAAGTCAAACTTCGAACAGGTGTCGCGCCCTTGTCGCAAGCAAACGCCAAACAGTTGATCTCCAATCAACGCAGCACGCCAACGCTTATTGCTGGGCTTGTCACGACACAGACAATGTCCAAGCCGGTCGCGTCTGGCAACCTCGACGACAGATCTTGGCTCGTCTCGCGCAATGAACTGGGCGACTTCTTGTGCGGTCTTAAGCCTGTTTTTGATGGTATGCAGCAGAGATTTCTGTTTTGAGCTTATTGTCGCATGGATGTGCTCTCAGCCTGGCTGAACTTTGCAAAAACAACGTAGAGTAACTGTCTCTAAATCCGGACGCATTACAGACCTCGAGAGTTGCATTTTAATCCGGATGAGGCGTTTTTCTCGCAGTCTATTCATCGCTTCGCCTCGGCTCTTTCACCATTGTACATAAATCGAGTTGGTTATCACATGGAGTGTCTTGTTGAGGTGGCTGCGATCGTCGCGGGGTGGTTTGGGCGACTCGCCGAGGCGGCTGGAAAAAACCGACGACCGATCGCCATCGCCATCGCCCTCAAGCTGCTAACCCCGGGTCCGCTGACCCTCTCGACTGGTTGTACGACAACACCATTTCAATGGACATGTGAACAGGTCGCCGCGCGGCTGGGGCAGGCTGGCTTCAAGTGCGGAAAGTCGACTGTCAGTGACTGGGCTCAACTCCACGCGGGCCACCGCGAACTGATTCAGTCTGGAACGCTGGATGAAGTGATCGAGCTGGCGCGGTCCACCCGCACGAAAGGCCGACCACCCATCTTTACCGATCACGAAGTTGATGCAATTATCAATTTATTGGAAGCGTTTGCTCGCGCGTCATGCTGTCTGACGAAAGCGCAGGCCGCCAAGTACTTGAAACCGTGTTCTGAAACAACTTCTTTCGACGGCTCACCAAGGCGGGCGTTTGTCCAAGACACGCCTAGCCGGTCCTGGTGGGCCACCTTTTTGAAGCGAGCGAAGGGACGCGTCAGGCTTCGAAAGGGCCGTGTGCTGGAAGTGTGCCGGGCTGCAGCGCTGACACCCGACAATCTCGGGACTCTCCCGACTCAACTCAAACAGGCCTACGATCAACATCCTCTCCTTACCGTCGAGCCGAGCCGCGTCAGCAACTTTGACGAGAGCGAGATTTCTTCTCGCGTCAAGGGATCGACTGTATTAGGGGCATCGTGGGGTCGTGTCGCGCTCGTTGGCGGTGGGCACAACAACAGCCTCGGACGGCACATCACCGGCGTCTTCTTGGTGTGTGCCGATGGAACTGCGCCGCTCCCTCCCATGCTGATTTTTACGAAGGGTACGAACGTCGCGACGGTTTGCCAACACGTTCCCATTGACGCCTGCTCTACCGCAACGACCGAGAAGGGGTACATGACCTCAGACTTGTTCAAAACTTATCTGCGCGAGTGGCGAAGCTGCATGCGAGAAAGACACCCGTCAGGCCCACTGCTTTGATCATGGATGGCTCATCCACGC